ATTTGTACATGATGGCCTTAGAGGTTTGTTTTTTTTTTTGTTGTTTTTTGTTTTTTTTTGTTTTTTGTTTTTGTTGTTTTTTTTTTTTTTTTTTTTTTTTTTTTTTTTTGTTTTAAAAAACAGAAAAAATATTATGAAAATTTTTAGGTAGTAGGTTGGTAGCAGCAGCCGCCCAGGAGGTACTACCGTCCTGCCATGAGTGTAAAACAAAAGCTGTAATTGTTTTACATGATGGTAGATTGTGGCTGGTGTCCTTTTTTCTGTCTCATGAACAGCAAGATTTCAGGTGCGTCTTGCTACTCACTACCCTAGGTCACACTACACATAACATGTACAAGCAACAATACACCCCCCTCTGGTTTTTCATCTATTTTCTTTCTAGTTCTTATAATTGTTTATTTCTCTTTATCTCCAGGGGAAGTGGGAACAGAATTCTTCCTCTGTAACATGCGTGTTGTAAGAGGCGACTAAATGCCGGGACGCAAGGGGCCTAGTAACCTCTTCTCCTGTATATAATTGACTAAATTAGAAAGGAGAAAACTTTCGTTTTTCCTTTTTGGGCCACCCCTCTACTCGGTGGGAGAACAGCTGTGTTTGAAAGAAAGAGAGATTAAGCAAATAAATCAACAAAGTAGAAAACGGCCAGTGTCACTTCTTAATCAGCCCACTGTCTCAATTCCACCCCACCCAAAGCTAACAACGGTATGTTTATTCAGTTATACAAATGAATTAACTATAAAGCATATGGAGTGTAACCTCAGTAAATTATTACAGGTACTAAGTACCATCCAACTTACACTAACCGAGCTGGCTCCGACCAATGGGTCATGAAGTCAAAAAGGATGAAAGTCAAACCTTTAGAAAAATGCAGACATACTACGTAGGATATAATGTCAAACTTTTGCGAATATAAAGTCCCTACAGAATATCGCATGTTACTTTTTACTACAGTATATCAACACACAGTATTGTAATATTTTTTTTTTGTCAAACAAGTCGCCGTCTCCCACTGAGGCAGGGTGACCCAAAAAAAGAAAGACAACCCCAAAAAGAAATACTTCATCATTCACACTTTCACCTCACTCACACATAAATCACTGATTTGCAGAGTGCTCAGAACACAACAGTTGAAGCAATACGTATAAAGATGACACAACATATCCCTCCTAAACCTGCGAAATATCCTGTAACCCCGTCCTTTAGAGTGAGTGCAGCATTGTACTTACCATTTCCAGACTCAAGTCCGGTTAATATATAAACTAACCGGATTCCCTGAATCCCTTCACTAAATTATACCCTGCTCACCTCCAACAGATCAATCAGTCCCAATACCAGTCATCTCCATTCACTCCTATCGAACACGCTCATGCACGCCGCTGGGAAAGTCCATGCACCTCGCCCTAAATCCTCCCTTAACCCCTTCCTTCCAACATTTTCGAGACACCCTACCCCGTTCTTCCTTCTAACCGATTTAAAATGCTCTCCATGTCCTTCTTACTTTGATCCATTCTCTCTAAATGAACAAACCACCTCAACAACCCCTCTTCAGCCCTCTGACGAATCTTGTATTAACTCCACAACCTTCTCCTAATTTCCACATCTCTCTCCGAACTGGTAATGATTTATTATATAGTTTTAATTTTTGTATTTCCATTTTTTTTTACTTTACTTATTGTGCTTTATGTACTGTATTTTATACTGTTAAGGTTTAGTACAGTACAGTTTCATACAGGATGAGCCTGCCTGGATAGGGCAGGATACTCAAAGTGATGCTGCTGAGCGATGTAGAGCTCTCCTGAGATGGCAGATTGCCGCGACTAGTGGTCAATTCGTAACACGTATGCGTCAGCCGCCCAGCCCGCAGCAATGTAGGTCGTAAGAAGAGAGGTCGTATGGTCGAGCAGGACGTGATTCGGACGGTACTATTATTATTATTTGGAACAACCTCCCGAAAGATCAAGAAAAACTATCCAAAATCATTCAAAAACATTTCAAATAACACCTCCTGAATGTGATGTAATATTAAAGTTTCAATGATCATAAACCTTTTTAACTGTCAATGTATCATGACTGTACTGCAAACATATTTAACGCTATCTGCCCACTGTATTCTAATTCATCTTGTTATATTTAGGAATTATTATTCATGCTGACTGTTAAACAAAACTGATATTCATATTATAGATTCTAATCTTACGATATTTTCACTATGATGGTGCAATAGAAATTGCACATTCAGTAGTTATCAAGCTAATATTCTGATAATGACTACTTAAACTTAATCACTTTTTTTTTTTTTTTCAACAAGTCGAATTCTCCCACCGAGGCAGGGTGGCCCAAAAAGAACGAAAAAACCCCAAAAAGAAAATACTTTCATCATCATACAAGAATTCACCGCACTCACACAGGGATCACTGTCTGTCAGAGGTGCCCAGATTCAACATTTTTAGAAGCATATAATAAAGATAAATAACAACCCCTCCAAACTGCCAATATCCCAAACGCCTTCGCATTAAAGTGCAGGCATATATCAGGCATAAAAGTAAGAAAATTTTTACTTACCACAGATTATTTATTTCTCATTCTTGATGTAAAAGTGCTTGGAGATGGTTATGTAACTCAGCTGCATAGATAGCTGTTAGTCATTTGTATTATTAGCTGACACCACTCACACATTTCTTTTTTTTTTTTATAATAGTGGCAAGAAAATTTTTTTATCCTATCAAGATTCTTTATTTCCTTCCTTGCAGATAGACCCCTGGCTGTCTTCAAGAAAGCACTCAACAGGCACCTAAAGTCAGTACCTGATCAGCTGGGCTGTGATTCGTACATTGGTTTACACAGCCTAGTTGATCAGACCCTGATCCACCACGAGGCCTTGTCACAGACCAGGCCACGGGGGGCATTGATCCTCAAATCCTTCTCCAGGTATGATGATGTAGAAGTGTTTGGAGATGTTATGTGGCTCATTTGCACAGTAGATGTCAATGTCAATGTTTTCTTAGCCAACGCCACTTCTACATTTCACTATATTGCACATACAATTTTCTTGTTAACCCTTTCAGGGTTTCGGCCGTACTATTACGGCTTACGCACCAGGATTTTGACGACTGGTACACCTAATCTAGCGGACCCCTCAAAATCTATGAGAGAAAGCGTTTAGGCCTATCATATGAGAAGAAATGGGTCCTATGTGGACAAGTGGTGCGCAGTAGAAAAAAAAAAATCCGCAGCACACAGTGCGTAATGAGAAAAAAAAACTTTGAAACCGTGATTTTGGATTAAAGACAGACAGCGACCTATTGCACTGTATTTCGTATCGGTATTTATTGTTGATTCTAGTTTTCCTGGTCTCATTCTATGGAATGGAAGACATATTACAGAAATTGAGATGATTTTGACTGATTTTACAATGAAAAGTACCTTGAAATTGAGCTCAAAGTAGTAAAATGTTTAATTTTTACCAAAGTTCAAAAGTAAACAAATCATGCTAAGCGTCCAATACACATCAACTGGTGAGTCTAATATTCTTTCACAAGTTCAAGAGTGTATCAGTCTGTAGTGGAAGGAAGGCGGGGTAGGGGGCGGCCTAGGAAAGGTTGGAGGGAGGGGGTAAAGGAGGTTTTGTGTGCGAGGGGCTTGGACTTCCAGCAGGCATGCGTGAGCGTGTTTGATAGGAGTGAATGGAGACAAATGGTTTTTAATACTTGACGTGCTGTTGGAGTGTGAGCAAAGTAACATTTATGAAGGGGTTCAGGGAAACCGACAGGCCGGACTTGAGTCCTGGAGATGGGAAGTACAGTGCCTGCACTCTGAAGGAGGGGTGTTAATGTTGCAGTTTAAAAACTGTAGTGTAAAGCACCCTTCTGGCAAGACAGTGATGGAGTGAATGATGGTGAAAGTTTTTCTTTTTCGGGCCACCCTGCCGTGGTGGGAATCGGCCGGTGTGATAAAAAAAAAAAAAAAAAAATCTACACTAATGCAGTAGTCTGCATAACAGCAAATCTTCTATTTTTTGTGAGAATAAAAATTTAAAGTGGAAAGCAAAAGAATGTAAGAGGAGCGTTGGGACGTGACTAATGAACAGAGGAAATGTCATTTTAGTGCCAGGAATGTCTTTCTGGTTTATTCTGGACCCTATTTAGAAATCGGCATCTTTTGAAATGTGTGAAATTGGCAAAATTGCTAAATTCTGACCACTGTATTTGATAGTTGAAATCGGTAAATGGGTGGTTTCTTGCACTCATTCGATAGAAAAAATGGAGTTCTAGCAAAATATTCATGATTTTTGTCGACTAGTACAGTGGAATTGGCCGAAAATAGGGCTCAAAGTGGGCAAAATCACCGATGCATAGACATCGTCGAGACCGCTAACTTCGCGAAAGCATAATTCCGAAAGTTTTCCATCAAATTTCACACTTTTGGTGCCATTATGATCGGGAAAAGATTCTCTGTTTTTTCATTAGAAAAAATAATTTTGTTTTTTTTTGAAATTTGGGAGACCCTGAGAACAAGTTTCTGAGAGGGCCTGTCGACCCTGAAAGGGTTAACAATGGTGACAAGGAAGAATTTTATCCTGCATTGAAGACCTTGTTCTCTTGCCTTCTGATACAAAAGTTCCTGAAGGTGGTTATGTAGCTACTAACCAGTAGACAGGCATTAATCTTCTGTTTATGTTTTATCAGTTGACAGCTGTGGGTCAGTTGTCTATTGAGATTAGGAGAGCCACTAACAGCATATGCTGTATTGAACCAGAGTCAAGAACCATCTTTCTCCAGGCCATATATATCTCTAAATAGATTGGTGTTTATGGCTGAGCCATCTTTTTTAAATTTTTACAGAGAATCAACTCAGGCAAAACCGAACATGAACTATAAATATGAATAGTGTTCTATAAAAACATACTACATAATACATGCTATGAGAGGTGTTTTTGTAACTATTCCAATACAATATTATATTTTCCTTTTTTTAATGATAACCTTATCTTGAAAAACAAATTTAGCTGTCTTAAACCTTTATTATGAAAAGGTTTATAAAATTTATTTGTAAACAAAGTCGAATATATAACCACAAACATACAATTAGAATAAAGGGGTCTAGTACTAAAAGGGTTCTAGGATGAATGCACCTAACGGCGGCCTCTGTGACTAGCACTGCCACCCCAAGTGAAGCTCTTCATACTGGATTTCCCACCTCGCCCTTTTTGTCTCTGAGGAAAGTAGAATAATTATTATAAAATTTCATTACAATTAAAATTTATAATCATTCTTTAAATTTATAAAAGGTTCTGTACACTTTTAAGCCATTTTTTAATGTTACAGAAAAAAAAAATCACAAGAAAACAAGAACTCATCATGTAGGTTTTATACACAAACAGAGGAGTAATCTTAGAAAGATTAGACTTGAGGGACTTTGTAAACAAAAAGAAATCAGTTGTAATGATTATACCTGGAGTATACCTGGTGAGGATTTTGGAGGTCAACACCCCCACGGCCCGGTCTGTGACCAGGTCTCATGGTGGGTCAGAGCCTGATCAACCAGGCTGTTACTGTAGGCTACACACAACCTGATGTACAAACCACAGCCCAGCTGGTCAGGTACTGACTTTAGGTGCCTGTCCAGCACCTTCTTGAAGACAGCCAGGGGTCTATTGGTAATCCCCCTTACGTATGCTGGGAGGCAGCTGAACAGTCTTGGGCCCCTCACACTTACTGTGTTGTCTCTTATCGTGCTAGTGCCACCTCTGCTTTTCATTGGGGGGATGTTGCATCATCTGCCGAGCCCTTTTGCTTTCATAGGGAGTGATTTTCACGTGCAAGTTTGGTATTAATCCCACTAGGATTTTCCAAGTGTATATAAACATACATCTCTCCCACCTGCATTCTAGAGAGTACAGGTTGAGGAACTTCAAGCATTGCCAGCAACTTAGGTATTTTATCGCAGTTATGTGTGTCGTGAAGGTTCTCTGTACATTTTCTAGGGCAGCAATTTCACCTGCCTTGAAAGGAGCTGTTAGTGTGCAGCAATATTCCACCCTAGATAGAACATGCACCCTGAAGAGTATCATCATGGACTTGGCATCTCTGGTTTTGAAGGTTCTCATTATCCATCCTATGATTTTTCTAGCAGATGTGACTGATACAATGTTGTGGTTTTTGAAGGTGAGATCCTCTGACATGTTAACACTATCAGTCTGTAGTTCCTTGCTATTGCTTTACTGCCCCCTTTGTAGAGTGGGGCTATGTCTGTTGATTTTAGCAGTTGTGGGACAGGGATTCCTGGGTCCCTGCTCCTTCTCCATAGGATGTTAAAAGCACACGACAGGGGCTTCTTGCAGTTCTTGATGAACACGGAGTTCCACGAGTCTGGGCCTGGGGCAGAGTGCATGGGCATGTTATTTATCACCTTTTCAAAGCCATTTGGCATCAGGATAATATCAGTTAGGTTTGAGTCTACCAAATTCTGTGTCCCTCTCATAAAATATTCATTTAGGTCTTCGACTCTCAGTCTGGTTAGCGGCTTCCTAACCCCTTCAGGGTCCAAGGCCAAAATCTGAAGTGGTGCTCCAGTGTCCAAGAAATTTTGAAAAAAAAAAAAAAAAATATTTTTTCTTACAGAATTAAAGAGCATATTTTTGTGAAGGTAATAAGACAAAAAAAAAAATTCTGATCAGTACTTACCGAGATACAGTGCCAAGAAGTTTGTCGAAAATGATGTGGTGGCGGCAACATCGACGAATTCCACATACGCACATTACATTATTTTGCGGTTTTTGTTGTTTTTTCTTTTTCTTTTCCAATTTTTCTATTCCTACTAACATTTGGGGCCTGAGAGACCAATACTGTATATAATGTATATATATAAACTCACTGTATTGAACACAATAACCGCACTAAAGTTTATTATCATATTATTGTTTACCACTGTTGTTTATTACAATAAACATGCACAAATCTTGTATAATACTAATGTTCTATCATATATTTACATATTTACAATCACTGGACATGGTTTTAGAACTGCTAGAGCTTGTGGAACTCCTTGAAACAAGGCACCATGCACAGAGGCACCTTACATTCCTCACACATAAACCGAGTGTCTTTGCGTCTTGTTGCCGTCTTTTTGTTTGTGCACAGACGATGCATCTCTTCTGAGCAAATTTCTTCTGAGTTGAAGGAAGTTGTATTATGAAATGATCACCTTCCCTCTTCAAACGCTTGGGTATACCCTGAGGAATTCGAGGACCGTGTTGTATAGCAGGTGTTGTTACCTGGTACTTCATTATGAGTTGGTCTGACAACAGACAAACAAAATTCACCATACGGTGGTCTGTTGCCAGTCTTTATTTGGTACATATTATATGCATTGAGCATTGAAATGTCCATGAGATGGAAGAAAAGTTTCATGTACCACTTGTAACTCTTACGAACACAGTCAACAAAACCAATCTGCATGTCACATTTGTCAACCAAGCGCATGTTTTGTGTAAATCAATCACTGTCACTGGTTTTCGAATACGTTCATTAGTCACTCGATCAACTTTGCCACTGTCTTGCATTTCATTACGGTGAATGGTTGTCAACAATGTGACATCTCGTTTGTCATGCCATCGTAATGCCATGATGTCACTGGCAGTAAACACCTGCACGTCATCACCACGAGCACCTGCGTTGAGCCTGGGCATATGTTTACGATTAGAACGCACTGTGCCACACACATCTGTCTTGTTCACTCGCATGAAATCACTGAGTAATGGGCTTGTGTACCAGTTGTCGGTATATAATGTATGCCCCTTACCAAGATAAGGTGCCATCATGTTTCTCACTACGTCACCTGAGATACCCAATAACATCTTGGTATCTTTCAATGTTTTACTACCCGTGTATACAACAATATCCAACACCAGGCCACTGTCACAATCACAGAGTACAAACAGTTTTATACCAAAGCGTTTCCTCTTGCTCGGTATATACTGCTTGAATGACAGTCTACCTTTGAACAAAATCAAAGACTCGTCAATTACAAGATTCTTGAATGGATAAAAGTATATGCTGAACTTTTGTTTGAGATACATGAAAACATTTCTAATTCTTGTATAACCTGTCACTTCTGTCAGGCCTGGTTTTGTCAGAGAAGTGCAACATACGTAACAGTAAGATAAACCTGTTCACTGGTATGATTTCACTGAAGACCGGGGTAGAAATTAGCCGATCTGTGGACCAGTATGCTTTTATATATGCTTATAGACGTGAGGCATAAGCATTATTGTTGCAAAAAGCAAATACATTTCTGCAACAGTCGTCTCTTTCCACCTGTGTAGTCTTGACTGTGGTGATAAGATCGTATTTGCCATGGTGTACTCAAAATACTTATTACTTTCCCTGACAATAATTTCCATCAATGGCTGGTCAAAGAATAATTCAAAGAATTCCAGTTCATTGGCCGTGGTTCCAAGGGGACAAGTAGGTAGAATTCCACTTTGAGAGTCATCAAAGTGGTGAGGTTTGGGAACAAAATTGGGATTTTGCTACCAATCCCACATATGGTTTGCTGGTGGATACTGGACATCATAGGCTGGTTGTGCGGGTGGTTGTGGTGGGCTGGTGGCTGGCGCTCCGCTTTGTCCTTGAACTGACGAGTCAGCAGCGTGGGTCCCAGCGTGGCCTGGTGAGTCACGCATGGCGGTGCCACTACCATCACCACTAACACTATCCACTGATGCCTGTGGTCTAGCCATGCCAAGTGTAGCCACATCATCCTCACTATCACTACCTAAAACTGGTGTTGGGCCACGGGATGTACTCCGGGATGTACTCCGTCCCCTGGGCACAGCATAGGGTACACTACCCGAGCGCATGCGGCGGCGAACATACCGACGCTTCACTGGTGAATATGATTCCTCACTATCACTACTCGAATGATCGTCGAGCGCAATAAAATCACAGTCCTAGTCACTATCATCATCATTACTGAAGTCAGAGGCCTGGCCATGCGAAAATATTAGTTTTCTCTTGCGATGAGGAACAACCGACCATGAGTCACGAGTGCCCACACCAGAGGTAGAAGGTTGAGGATCGTCAGGGTTTTCTGCACTATTATCGATATCCTGGTCATTCTTTTCGGTCACTAACTGATCAAAGCCGTAGAATTCGTCTTCATTTCCACTTCCATCAGTGTCAGAACTATCAGATAGGAAGAGGAGAGTCCCAATTTTCCGGGGAGTGAGAGCTGACTTGCGACGAGGCATGGTGAACAAGGGTAACTGAGCCGGCGTTCCCACAATGCTATGCAGGCGCCTAGATTTTTTGTTTATGGCGCACACCCATCACGCAGACCCGTTCTCTCACATGTAGGCCTATGAGCGTTTTCGCGCTAAATTTGACGGCGCTAGAATTTTGGCGTAGATCTACAGTTTGGACACTCAACGTAAAGCCGTTGATCTACGGGACAGACCCTGAAAGGGCTAAACACTGAGTCATACTGAGACATGAGTAGCTCACTCATTTCCTTGCTGTCATCTATGTAGCACCCATCTCATCAAAGCAGGGGCCCAATGCTGGATGTTGTTCTCAACTTTGATTTGGCAGAAGAAAAGAAATATTTTGGGTTTCAATTTTATTTATGGCTTTTAGTTCTTCCCACATTTCTTGACTCCTGTAAGATTCCTTTAGCTTTAGTTCAATGTTTGCTATTTCTCTGACCAATGCCTCCCAAACTAAATTGGAAAAAAATTTTAAATGCACTATCATTCAAGGATAAATACAGTGGAACCTCTGCTTATGAATTTAATCTGTTCCGTGACCTTGTTTGTATCCTGATTTGTTTGTATGATGGTGGTTTAATTTTCCTCACTTAAATTAATTGAAAAGCCATTACAGTGGACCCCAGCCTTACGAACGCATCGCGTTACGTTAAATCCGCCATATGAAGCATTTGAATGCAAAAATTTTGCCTCGCCTCACGATAAAAGACTCGCCTTACGTGATTCGTCCGGGTTGCGTCCCACGTGTGGCCTTAGTGCCAGTGTTTACAAGCCAGCCAGTGCGGTCGCATCTACGCATACATTCGGTACATTTCACATTATCCCAGTGTTTTCAGTGCTTGTAACTGCAAAATAAGTCACCTTGGACCCCAAGAAAGCTTCTAATGCCATCCCTGTGGTAAAAAGGGTGAGAATTAGCATGGAATTGAAAAAAGAGATTAAGGAAA